ATTTGTAATTGTTGGGTTAAAGAAAAATTAAAAACAAAACAAAACAAAAAACTTATATCTGCACCCCAATGTACAGATTTATTCTGTTTTTTAATTTTTATTAAGAATAATTTTTAGTTACAGCTTATTAAATATGTAAAAAATAAATACATACTGAATCCCAAACATCATGGCCTTCTGAATTGCAGTGAAATTAGCAAGTGCACTTACAGTGTTTTTTTTTTTTTTTTTTTTTTTTATGTGTTTTATGCTTAATAATTGGATGGACATAATCATTTTGTAACAATGATTATTGTTTAATGCGAAACATACTTTTAACTCAGTACTTCCACAAAAAACAAAAATGAAAAATGAATTTTTAAAACTGAAAAGTCTCTCTTGAAGCTTTTATTTTGGTTTTAATTTCAAGATAACAGATTAAATTTAATATTTCCAATAAACAAAATACATTGCTGTACTTCAAAAACTAATTTAAATTAACCAGAAGTTTTTTGCTTTCTTTCTTTTTTTTTTTTTTTGTTCTAAAATAGCTGCTTAGCACCCCTTTTTCCCTTTTTTAGTTGTCTTTCATTGCAATGTAATTCTCTTTATTAAAAAAATCTTTCAAAAATAAAATATACATTTCTGAAACTTTATTTGATGAATTTTAGCTGATTTAAAGTATAATTAATCTGATTTGAAATAAATATTATTTACTTTAAGTTTAAAATATCACAGAAATGCATTTTTAACCTATCAGTAGCTGTTTTGATGTATTGTAACAGCCTGATGGCTGGTTTAATGTTGTTCTACAGAGACTTTATCTGTAAAACATAATTTAAGATGACATGAGTGCCTTTTTTAAGTACTCGGTAATCTTAAAAAGTTAAATAAATATTCTGTAATCTAATACTTTATTGAATTTTACAAATGTCAATTTTAAATTTACTATAGTCATTGCTCTTATTTTCTGATAATGTCATGAATGGTTGGCCATACTTACAAAAATGTTTATGCATAAAAAAAATTCAAAATTCTTTTAAAAATACGAGTGCTTGATGATTTGTATTAAGCTTTTCCATTTATGCTTAATAAATATAGTTTTCACTTAATAATCATCTAAAAGGCTGAAATTAAAACAGAATTTTAAGATTTAAAACTTAAGACAAGTAACCAGAAGGAGTTCTTTCTTTCTTTCTTTTTTTTTTTTTTTTTTTTTTTTTTTTTTGCTAAAATAGCTGCTTAGCTTTTGGCCAGATTAGTTCCTTGAATGGGATTGTCTTAGTTATAAAAGCAATTAAACGCTTTTCCAATTAAATGTCATAGTTTTATTGCATTTATTATTTTACAATTTGGAGCAGATTTTCAGTAAGAGCCAGAGTTTGGAAAAAAAAAAAAAATGATGATTTACATTCTCCAAGTTGTGTTTTTAAGTGGATCAAATTTTAATTTCTTGAAATTTCACAAAATTAAGTGGGTGTGGATAAGTTTTAACATTAAAAAATTGTTTTTTCTCCAAAAATTTCATTTGTGAATAATTTTATTAAAATCCAACAATTATTTGACTTTTGAAAAAAATTCCAAAATGTGTTTTTTACTGCATAGTAATTTCCCATAGTAATCTTTGACCTACTGCTGATGCAAGAAAAACAAGATTTTTAACCAAAATTTAGAACATGCTAGAAAGGAAAAATATGCTTTTGATTTTCCTTTTAATAATGACAAACGTTTTGATAAGACTTTGTTTTCATCAAGTTTAGAGCCTTTTTCATCATGCTATGCTCTTTTTAGCAAAAAATGAAGTTTACTTTTAACTGAAAAATATTTCATTATGTAGTAATCATGTGATTTTATTTAAAACTAATCCTGTCTCTCCTTAATATATTCTTTGTTAAACAATACTTTTTATAGCTTTGCTTAGCAAATGAAGATACTGGAGTCATGCATTGATTGTAGCAGAGGGCCTGGCAGTTGGTGAAGGCTCCAACCTTGTGGCACTGCATCTCACCTTTTTTTTTTTTTTTTTTTTTTTTTTTGTTGAGGAGGTTGCTGGTGCCTCAATTTCACTCTGTCAGCTTCTATTGTTTCTCACTGATGATGATTGAATCTACAAGAGACAAGGGTCCTTTTCAGCCTCTTTTTAGTGGGGCCTCCACTTCTGTTGGCCAGATTAGTTCCCTAAATGGGATAGTCTGTCATCCTTGATACATAACCAGCCTATTGTAGCATATCTTCAACACTTATGACCCTGCACTTTTAGTATAGTGGATATGATACAAAAAAAATGTGACATGACCTAAAACTGAGGACTGGTTTTCTCTGTTCTATCTTTTAACCTAACTAGTTACAATCACTGATGCATTCACTCGGATATTTATCCTTTCACCAACAGACCACCTTTGTACATAGCATTTGTACTGCAGACACCATAATTCCACATTTTCTCTTTGAAGCCTTAACTAGTCTTCTATGTATGATTTTTGAATATGGGGGAATAATAACATTAATATTTATAATGACCAAAATATACAAAAAAAAAACAAAAACAAATATTGATTGTTAGTATTAGAAACCTAGTATAGTGTGGAGACATCATTGATGGAATCACTTGAGAAGGCATGAGAGATGTTGATATATAACTCAGGACTCCACCATATAGTGGGGGGGACAGCATGATGTCTAGACTTTTTTTCCCCATGTCTTTGATGAGGCTTTTGTTACTCCAAATATGTTTATGTAGTCTATCAAAGGTTTCATTAGCTTTAGTCAATATTGGCTATTTCTCTTATCAAAGATGATACTGCTTAGATAGCTAATCCTAGACCACTTTTAGTTTTATTGGGTTAATGGAGACATAAGGTGGGTAATACCTTTAGTTTGGCACAGGTTACTAAAGAATTTTATGGGCTTTATAATATAGGATGTTATTTGTGAACAAGAACTCTGACCAACAGTTCTGAGTTTTTTTTTTGTTTGTGTGGACCTACTGTGGGCCCCACACAAACAAAAAACTTGCACTATGTTGAAGAAGTTGTGTTTTTGTGTGTGATGTACATGTTGTATTAGTCGTCCATCTCCTCTGTGTCCTATTTCAGCATAGTGCTAGAGTATATTGCACACAGCCTGGCTTGATGCAGTTTCTGATTTGGAAGGGTTCAGAGAAGTTGCTTCCACATCTGACTTGTCTATGCTGCATCTTGTGGAGTTGGCAGACACTGCATCATGGACAACCCAATCTTTCCAAGATGAATCGGTTTTGACCTGTTTACAATGTCAAACACCTTTTTGTTGCTTTAATAAAAGTGATATACAACACTTATTTGTGTAGCATTTCTCTTGTATCTACCTTAGAACAAGGGCCATATTGGTCATGTCATTGAATTCCCTGAAACTGTATTGGCTCTCATGCAGACGATGTGAGTTACTAAACTGTTTATTAATAATCTTACAAGGATTTTGCCTGTAATTGAAAGTCTTTGGAGTTTTGCTCTTTCTTGACTTTTTTAACATAAAAGTTAACTATACAGTAAACAAGTTGACAGTTGACATGACATTCTACATGGGGTATCATCTTGGTTTGGAGGATGTTATTTTTGATTTCTTTGTCATACATGAACAGAGTACGAGGTGTCAAGGGTGCAGCTACGTGGTCTTTAGCATATCTTTTTGTTGTAATAATGTATTGATGCACAGTTTTTCTATATAAAACTGTAGGAGCTTTCTATTTGTCATTTGTCTTTCTTCCTGCATGTTTCCTAGAAAAGCCTTTCCATGTGCCATAGTTCTGTTTACCATAGTATTCAAGTTGCCTTGAACAATAACTGTTATTTGTTAGGACATGACAGGTCAGGATAGAATTTGCACTGCTTCACTGGGCCTGCTTGAAGTGTACATGTTGAAGGATGTTATTTAGTGGAAGGCACATGTTAATGATGCAGTTGTGATGACTGGCAGGTATGTTGGTGAGCTTATCTGATTGAAGCTTGCTCAACCAATATAGGTGTCACTTGCTTTGAGTTCTTTCAGGTTGTCTTGGTCTGGAAAGCAGATATCACAGTCATATTGTTGTGTAAGGTTCTAGCATAATTAGAGTGAATTTCTGTTCTTTTGATTTGTGTATCATTGTTTTCACATTCTCACATTTAAGTTTGAAAGGTTTCTTTTTAGTCTGAATTGATGTTTTTGTTTTGTGACTGCTTGAGAAGTTGTTCATTGGTTGTGATAAACCAATTGGTGTGAGTAGGAGACAAGCTTTCTTTAGGCAATCTTTTTTAAGCTGCTCTCAGTGTGAATTAAGTAGTACTGTCCATAGAAAGAACTTTATTATCAAGTGATGCATTTGTCAGCCTAGATCTGTAGCATGTGACCACTTGGGCCACCTACATGCAGGTTTGAAACTGCAAGTTCCAGTGGTATCTTCTACCTGCTGGTTTTGTAATTCAGGGCTTTGTATTGAGTAGGTGGGTGAAGAACTCTGTTTTCTACAGTGATATTTTTAAGTGGTGTGAAATTTTTTTTTTTTTTTTTATTAACTGTTATTGGAGTTTGTTTGTACATATTTTGTGGGATTTTATATATTTATCTCCATTTCTAGTATTTAGATTTTCTTAGTCTTTTCTTTACATGTGCTAAAAACGTTTTTGGCCCGACTTCACAAAACCTGGGCAAATAACTTTTTTTTTTTTTTTTTTTTTTTTTTTAAGGGGCTTCTTGGTTTGGTTGAAAACTTTTCAGCACTTATAAATTAAGTTTATAAAATGTGTTTTACTAGATAATTTAAGTCATATTAGGTCAGTTGTCTAGTATCAAATGATGTTCTATTACATTTTACTACCTTAGATGATGGATTAATAGACTCTCATCAGCTGGTATATTTAATAAAATATAGATTTCTTGACTTAAAATATACAGAGGAAAGTATTGATCAATTTTTTTTTTTTATTCAGAAATAAACTTTTTTTTTTTATTTATCTATTTTTGTTGATAGGTCATTTGTTTTATGACTGTTTTTATTTTTGCAGGGTCGTATCTGCTCAGCCCATGATATATTGGAAGAGAAAGGTCTGGCTAAAGTCGCTCTCACCGTGTCTTCATTGGTGGCCTCTACCAGCAGCACCAAGCAGGCCGTGGTATGACAATTAGGCCAGTTGCTAGGGGAGATTGCCTGTGTTTTTGTCATGTTGGTACTATTTTTGACTGCATCAGAGCAGATGGGTCTACCCATCTTTCCTTACTGGTGAGCAGTTGTAAGTACAATCATGACTCTGTTGGCCTGATATCAGCACCCTATTTCACTGGACTGAGGCAACAAGATGGCAGTCAGCTTACCTTTGTGACCTAAGGAGAAAGAATAAAGAGGGAAGGATGTATGACTTTATTTTGCCTCACTAATATGTGGTACCCTACCTCTATCTGTTTGACAAGTGTTCACCCTAATGTACAAAGTAATTTTTATTTATACCCATTTTGGGATAAATTTGTAACAAAAAAAGTTTGTCTTCCATTTCTCCTTGAGCTTTTATAAACATTTGAAACTGTTCAAAATACCAGTGATATCTCTATTTTTCTGCAATATAGAAATAATAGTATAGTTTTGTAAGTTAAATTCTTTTCTCACTTTAAGGATTATTTTTCTTAGTATTGATGCACCATTTTTCAAGTAATGGCAGTTATTTCTTCACATTAAGATTGGCTCATATTTCAGCATTTGATTTTACCAGTGAATACTTTTTTCTTTGTAAAGGCAATCAGAATTAAAATTGAGAAGAAATTAAGAACCTGTTGATATGTAGAGAAGATACAGGGATTAACATTTTACTATTTGTAAGTTACAGATGTTAAGATATTGGTGGCATCTTAATATATATTAAGTTCTACAAATGTTATGCCTGATGTACCTCTCAGGGTACCTAGAATTATTTCTTACCTGCTTTAGATTAAATATTCTTTCTCACTTGAATTTTATACTTTGTCATCAACCAACATAAACATTTTTACATAAGCTTGGCCTGAATAGCCACAGTATCACTTTTGTAGTAATCCATGACAAGAATTTTTACAGTTGGTTTCTTTGAAATGTTTTGGTTGGTTCTTTTCCTAAAAACAAATAACCACTTTGGATAAATTCAAGGAAATTTGAAGATAAATTTTTTATCCAACTTACTATTGCTTTTTTTTTTTTTTAAACTGTGCAGTAGTATACTTTGCTACATGGTTTGTTTGGCAGCATAAAATTAAAAAAGACAAGACAGAAGGTATTTTTTTTCTATATCTCAACTTCTAAATACCAATTTACTGCCTTATATTAAAATAAAATTGAATACTTGTCAACAGACCAATTTCTTGCTCAGTTTGTCACTTACAGGCATTACAGCATGCTGGCAGGGATTCAGTTTACACTGGTCACAATATGGACATCAAATTCCGAAAGTAGTGTACGTATGTGTATTTCTAGATTGTCAAACTCTTTAGTGCCTCTCTGAAATGTGAAATTGTTATTGTCTTGTGTGAATTAATGAGTCTGCATGCGAGTACAATTTTCACAATAAAGAATATTCAGGCATTTATGATAATTAATCTTTAAAACTTGGTAATAAATCATGCATTGAACAACTTGTTAATCTCACAAATATAAATTTTTATTTATTCACTTTCATATGAAAGTTCATTGTTTATAATTGTGTGTATGTGCGCATGTTTATGTATATATAATTGTAAGCATTTACTTGTATGATAAATCATAAATGAATAGAAAATAATCATAGGTTCATTCATACATAATCATCTTTCATTGTAGAAACACATTAAAATATCTTTTTTAACATTCCATAAAGTCATGTTTGCAGAATGACAGTGTGTGTGCAAGTTGTACATTTTTATGTGAAAATCTGTATATATGTGCATTTCAAATAATACTAATATTTGTTAGGGAAGTTTGTTGAATTACAGAGAAAATTGTGCTTATACTGCTGATTGCCAATTTACAATGCATTTTAAAAAATCTGTAATTAAATAGAAAAAGTAGCACTGAGTTAGATTGAGAGAAAACTTAATTTTAAATTTGTAACCCAGTATTGGGTTGGCAGTAATACATTCAGTAAAACATGCATACAGAGAAATAAAATGAATAAGAGTTGGCTGTAATGTTACTTTTAATCTATAGTAGATGTCTTCTAAATAAACCATTGATTCATTATTTGAGAATTCTTTATACTGTTACCATTATACACTGGGGCCACATTTTTATGACCATTACTGGCCTGAAATGAACTGCACAGATTTATTTTCAGCATTTTTATGCGAAATCAACACTTTGTTTTAAATTAGTTGATTTCACTGATTTGAATGCCTACATTATTAAATTATGTAAATATTTGTGCACCAGTCAATGACTTATGAATTGTATGCAACTACAATGTATATTCATCATGCTTCACCAGCAAATTCTATTGTTGTTGTAGCATTCTAATATTTTCTACTGCCATCTAGTCAATTGTATGAAAACACCTTAAACTCTATCCCTGTCAGTACAAGCTGTGTTCCTATATTTGCTGCCACCTTTTGTGTACATTTGATTACATTTCATACCATAGTGGACAGTTGAAGAATTATATACCTCATTTACAAGGTTAAAACTAGAATAGCCTTTAATTTTGAAAAGTGGACATTTGTCTGATGTCACTTGAATAGAAATAGATATAATTTATTTATTCATCAAATATGTTTCAAGTAAAGAGTTATTAATAAAGCTTAGAGTTCTATACTACAAGCCTACTTATAGTGCAACTAAGAGCTGGAACTGGAGACCTATTTCAAAATGTTTGAATTTCAGAAATTTTGGGAGAAAAGTTAAACAACATTCTTATTAAATGCCCCTTCTTTAATTTTTAGTGTAAAAATGTTTTTTTTAATAGTAATGTACAATAAAATTCAACATGTTTGTTTATTCTTTTTTTTAAAAAAAGAACCTTTTTAGTAAGAAAAACACAAATTACTCATATTTTATATCAATATATGTCTTGTTCATAACAATATCAGAGAAAAATATTAACTTTTTCTGGTATTTTAAATTGATTTTGAAGTGTAAAAACAATTGAGGAAAAATGGTTTTGGAAGAAAATCCATTAAAAATTAAACATATATCATTATTAAAATTAACTTTGAGAGTGTTTATAAGTTATAAGTACTAGGAAAAATTGGATTAATAAATTATTTCTTTAAATCAAGTAGTATAAGAAGTGTGATAAAAATTCATCATACTTTTTTTTACCTATTAGAGATACAGATTAAGAAAAAAAATAGTTTATTTGCTTTTTGTGAATAAAAATTTTATATAGAAGAATATTAAGTGAAAATAATAAATAAACTTCCAAGTAACAAGACCAAGATTCCTAAATTACATTTTTTGAGAATTTTGCACAAAAAAGTGTTTTTTGCGATATAAAATAATATAGAAAGTCCAAAAGAAATTAAATAAACATTATCTTTACTTCAATTAAATAAGATGAAATTATTCCATGTAGAAAAACCAAAGTTTCTTTGAATTTCTTAAGCAGATATATCAGCAAACTATAACAAATCCACTCTGAAACTAAAATGTGTCCAGTGGAACAAGGAGCTTTTGAAATAAACCCACAGTTCTGGGCCTTAGTTGCACTATGAGTAGGCTTGTAGTAGAGAATGCCGTGTAATAAAGGTAAGACAAATTACAAACATGCTAAATGCATGAAAAAAAAAAATGTTCACAGTGTTTATTAGACCATTTCTATCCAGAAAATAATAATGGCATATTTTTTAACTATCTGAAATATAATTCTTCTACTGTACTAATTTACCACTGAAAACTGACTGTCAATTTATTCTACTAATTTGTGTGCTGAAATGAAGCAGTTTTCTTAACTGTTGGTGCATGGAGTGCAATATATAAACAAACATTATTTCTAATTATAATAATTTTTTTTCTTTTTACTGATGATGGCAATTGAGTTTATCGATAGTAATCATTCTGGGGAAATTGATCTGTTTTAAATCAGCACAAACAAGATGGTTATAAATATCTCAAGAACAGACTTAACATTCATCAATTCATTAAACAGGTTTATTTTTTTGATTAATGGAAAGAGTATTTGCTGTAATAACTTCTGCTGCACACTTAAGTTATTCTAATTTATCTATTTTAAGATTTACTTAGCTAAATTATATAAATTGTCTTTAATCACTGAACAGTTAGAAATAATGACCCAGAAAAGAAAGGTTTCATAAAGTGAAATAAACACCTTATTTCCTTGTAAATTTTATGGGTTTATTTTATCTGGGAAATAAAGCCAATGCATTTAGTGTTTTCTTGTAAGAAGTTTGTAGATATGCAATTAGATATCCACTATGTAAATTACTATTATCATCATTCTAAATGATAATATCCAAAACAAAAATAAATTTTCCCAAATCTTTATCAGGAACAATAATTTGATTTAGATTTTTCTGTTTCAAAAGATTTTCGAATTTGCTTATTAATATTTCAATTTATATTCTAGCATTTTGCCATTTCTTTGTAATGTTAATTGTTCTTTGTGATTTCTTTAAAAATGAACCTACTTGATAATTCTCATTGGACCTTTTATTATTCATAAGGTTTTTTTTAGTTTTATATTTTTGTTTTTATTTTTTGTCTCATTAAATTTGGTTCTGTTTCAAGTATTTTTGACTACAATTTTTAATTTTTTACTTTTTCAAAAATTCTTTGTAGATATTAAAAACCAAAGCATCTTTGCAATTTTAAAGTGAGAATGCAAAAACTCTATCAAAGATTAAGTGATTTCTTACACATGCTAAACATCAGATTAGAAGAGAGAAGGCTGCTTTTTTTTTTTTTTTTTTTTTACTGTCATTCCATTCTTCTTAATAGGTGCTTAGGGTTTCATCTTCAATGAAATGTTTTAGTTTGCTCCTTTGTTTCCATATTTGCTTTAAAAATTGCTAAGCTCTTTTTCTTTTCTTGGACTTTTCCATTTTTTAGATAGATCAATTTTTTTTTTTCTTGTTAAATCAACCTTTCATGTTTTGATCACAGCTTACTTACCTATCCTATTTTGGCTTTTTTATTATGTCCTTTTACAGCTCTTTAAGCTGTCATAAGGAACAGATCACTGGTGCTTCTGATGTCAGCTATGGCCCATGTCTGAGTGTAAAAATAGCACTCTCTCCTCCGAGTCTAAACAGTTAATGGATTGGGTTTTTTGAGTCGGTTTGTATGTAAGGGGACTACTTGAGTAAAAGTTCAGTTTCACACTCCATCCATCATTTAACACTACCTACATGTGAGGTTTTCTTACTTTGCACTTTAAACATTGGCACCAGATTGTCTCTGACCAGTCCAAAGGTTACAACTAATCCCCCTCCCCATCATTTGATCTGACATCAAACAATGAAACAGAAATTATCTATAGCCATTTTTGTGGGGGAGGAGGTGTAGGGATGTATTTAAATTCTGACAAGGAGAGAAGAATTGTAGAAAAGAATAAATGGAATAAAATAAAAAATTAAAGAAAAGCAACAACTTAATTTTAGTGGCCAAATTCATGAAAGAATTGAAGGATTTTTAAAAATTTGTTTTTTTGTTTAACACAATTTAAGAATTTTTGTTATTCTTCCTTCCTCTCACATTTTTCTCCTTCACCGTGTTACCAGCACCATGATCTTCCACCTGGTCCCTCTCACTTATTTCTGTCCTCCTTACCTTGTGATGCTATTGTTGCTGCTGCTGTTGTTACTGCTGCCATCAATACAGTGATGGCAATAGAGTGAGGAAATGAAAGCCAACTAAAATAAATACTGATTGCATCATTATGACTGATGATGCTTAGTGATATGATTTTCTTACTCATCAAGTGCAAGATATATGTGAGGAAAAACAGGCAAAGACAGATGAAAGAAGAAAAAGGAATATAAAAAATTACCTAGCAACTGGAATATTAAGAAACAATAGACCAATATATAGTCATATTTGACATGGAGGTGTGTGTATGTAAATTTTATATGCAATATCTACCTAAATATAAGGATTCTTACCTCTAATGAACAGTCTTAATTTACTTAATCATCCATCCACCAGTCTTTCTAAATTTACAAAAAAGGGAAAACCTATTTCCTTTTGGAAGGGAAAGATATCCCTTATTCAGTTAGTCATACTTTTTAAGATGACAGATGATTCATGAGTCTTCACTACTCAATCTCTATAAGGTAATACAGCAGAACACATGATTGTTCTTGATTGTATTAATACCAGTCTCAAATTATGATTAAGGATGTCTTTGAAGTAACATTCTTATTGCTTGATTTGAATATTTGTACCACTTTATATTGCAAACTTAGTGCCTTTGTAGATTTAAAATTTTTCCTTGTAATCTTGTAATTTATAAATATATATATTGTAACTATTAAGAAATGGTTGACGCATTAAAAAGTTTTCTTTCTCATTGCATTTTTTAAGTATTGCAATTCACAAATGTCAAACATTTCCAATAGCTTATTTAATTTGACATTATTGTTTTATTTACATATATATAATAATTTATCTATCTGTTTTAGTTAAGGATTGGAAATAAATATTTTCTTAGAGAAATATTGTCTCCTTAAGGTATTTCTCTGTGAAAGACTTCAGATACTTGAAAATATTTTTAAAGCTCTAGACTGTTGTTGTTCTGTGCTAATTTGTTTGATAAGTGGAGATTGATAACATCTTTTTAGAAAGAAAAATATTTGTAAATTAAAACATTTGTTCTTTTCATTTATGCTAAGTCCGTTCGTTTTTTGGTATAGCTATTATTTTCATGGTTGGCTTATGGCATCCAAGGGGCTACTTAATTCTAGTTATATTTTTTTTATTGTAAAACCAGTTGTCTTTTCTTTGGATTTGTGCTTGTTTTATCCCCCAAAACTTATTTGTATAAGCACTAAATATCTGGAATAAACTGAAACAAAATATTTGGTTATGTTGTCTACTTGTTGTGTGCCTTTATCTGTTGTCAGCCTGTGTACATGGTTTCAGTGCTACATTTAATGATATAGCTATCATCACACTCATGTTTGGGTGTGTCTGAATATGTGCCAATATGCATTCTATCCCTTCCCATCCTTCTTCCTTTGTTGTGCCACTTGTTATATCTGTATATGTATGCATTTTAATTTATGTGTTGTTGGGATTTGACATGCTGTATGTCACATTTTATTGGAATAGAAGGAACATTATGAAATATATTATTTTGCATATATAGTTTCCTTTTTAATGACCATAGGAAGCTTCTGACATCAATATTCTGGCAACATTGCACAGCTTAAAGTTTACTTTTGTGAAAGCTATTGATCATATTAAAAAAAAATTCAGATTTGCATAATTCTTCCATTAAGTATTTGGGCTGTGCTGTTTTTAAATATCTTCAATAGTGTGATATTGTTATCACTGTCTCAAGAGGGCAGACTGAACTATTTTCATATATTTGATATTTTTTGGATAATATGGAAAAAAAGACATTTTCAATGTTAAAAATGTGTATCTACACATGTCAATACCAGTATTTTTTGTTTTTATTCAATTGTCTCATTACTGTGTATCCCCTTACCTACTTAAATAAGCTTATGATTCCTTGTTGGGATTAATTCAGTTCAGTGATCCCTCCTTTTCTTTTGTGAATCCTTCCATGAAATCTTCTATATTGTGATCTTTAAAACTTTCTTTACCTATTTCATATGATCTTTTCTTATTTATTATATATTCCTTCCATTATTCAAGCTGCTTTTGTTTAAATCCCTCCATATCTCCTCTATATTTCTCTTGTATTTGTGCCCTGCTCATTGTATTTGGGGCACATTATTTAGTCAAATTAAAAAAGTGTTTATTATTTAAGATGTTAAGTTTTTGGCTCATGTTTTTGTACATTTCAGTGTATTGTCTGAGTCTCTCAAATTATTGTTTTAAGGATTTTCTTTTATTAATGTTTACATTTGGTTATATGTATTCTGTCTGTATATTTGATTTCATCTAGAGAGAACAAAAACCTTTATCTCTAAACATCGAAAACAAACCTTAAAGAGAAAATATAAATTCTTTTTCAAACAACCCCCACCTATAACTATTTCTTACAATCATTAGTATAATATCAAATACCATGTTTGTAAAGCAATGTTAAGAACCAAACCCAAGGAATGCTGAAAGGAAACAGAATTGCAGTAATAATATATCATACCATTATTTATGTACACATAATGGGAACCCTTGCACAGTTAGTGTCCAATGCACTTGAGTAATGGAAGAAAAAAAATTGTAAAATAGTTTAAAGTAAATGTCTTGTAACTTCATATATTTTGTTAAAAAAAAAATTTAAGAAAAAGCAAACTTCTGTAATTTTCTTTTTTTCTCAGAAAAAGACAATTTGATGACATTTCAGTTGAATTTGTATTTATTTCTTTTTCTGTTACAGTTTCTGTAATGAATTGTAATGCAAATGAGTTATTTTTTAACTATTGGCAGACACTGGTGTGTATGTGTTTATTTATATATATATATATATATATATATATATATATATATATATTGAAAGACTTGCCTGAGACTGCTTTTGAAATAGCCTCTCTTCTATTCTGACCAATTTCTACTCACAATCAACACTCACTTATTTTGACACTTTCAAAATTCCCCATCACTGTATATATTTTGTGTGAATTTTTATAATTATTTTGCAGATAAATTTAAGAAACTCTAAACGCTCAGCAGTTGTTTGGTGAATGCTAGTAAGTTATGAGAGATTAATGATATCTGCTTTCATCTAACAATGATCTCCAAACATTATGTCAAAAAGCAGCAGTCCCAAATACTTGCCTCTTTCCTTGTTTGTCATGATCTGCTCAGTAATCAAACTGAACTTCAGTTTGTATTCCTTACATATGCTGCCTAATATTCAGCTGATCTGTTCAGAGAGCATTTATGGTCCATAAAAAGTCGCCTTCACTACAATCGCCTTCACATTAGCAACAGAAGAGAATGGTTATGACAGAAAATAGTATCTTTATTCGCAATTATTTTTGATTCCTTTCTTAATTATTTCAATTGATAGTAGCTTAAAGATAGATCAAAATCAAATTTTGTTAATTCAACACTGGTTTGTAAATTTGTGTTTGTGGATTTACAATGTTCATTTTGTGATCCATTCCAAAGTATGGAATGAATATTTCTTTTTGTAATGTTAACAATTTAAACTATGTTGATATTCATTGAATTTTTTTTTTTATAAGAAATATTAAGTTTTAGGTAAAATGCTTTCCAATAACTGACATTTTTATATTATTAATTAAAATTAATGTGTTGAATCTTTAGAATTTTATTTACATTAAAATTAATTTCCAGTTATCTGAAAATCTATATTTTATTTAATTTATATGAGAAATATATAGCTAACAGATTTTTTCAATTGGAGTAGGCCTTTCTCATTCTTTATTTCTGTTGCTATTGTCTTTTGTCTAATCTTCAGAAGTTAGGTTGTTCTACTGTTTTAGTTAATGACTGACTGGAATGATGTGATATGTTTCTGTGTGAGTGTCTGAAAGCAGGTCTCCTTTACTTTGCTATTTAAGAATTACTGTATAGCGGATGTCTTTCATGTCTCACCAAAGTAATGATTACAATATCTCATACAATTGTTATTCATTGGTGTCAAGTTTAATGCTCTAAAATGAATAAACTCTTACGATACTAAACTTTGTGTCCTGTTTTAATCAAGTGAAAATAAAATAAAATAAACTAAACTAAACTAAACTATGTTGTTAAAGCTTTTTTTTTTGTCTTATTTCAGTTTTGTTAATCAAGTGCTAAATTTTGAAATACTAAAATAAAAAAAAAAAATTGTGAATTATAAATTTCAACAAACTTAAACTAACTCACTGTGTGCAAAAAAAAAAAAAAATTGTATAGGATTTATGAAAATTTTTATTTTATTATTAAAAACTTATCCAATGTAAATTTTCCTGTTGCAAATAAATTTCCATGTGCATATTTGGGGAAAAAAAATAAAATAAATAAAAACAAATAAATGTGAATTTTGCTTAATGTTATTAATGAATAAACATTTTTTTTATTTTTTAAAATTTTTTTATTAAGTTTGTGTCAAAAGAACTAAATGCACACTCCCAAGAGGAAGGCAGAAAACTATTGTATTCATGATTGGGGGGATAATTAGTATTCAAATTAATGAGGAAATATTAAATTGAATCTATTGGCTTGGAATTAAAATAACTTCAAGAAAGATTTTTCATTTTTTGAAATGCATTTTAAATTTTTTTTTATTTTTTTTTTTTTAGGTACCAAGTTAAAGGGTATGGAATTGTTGGGGTAATTATCTAGTGTCGCTTTCCTTATAAGATCAAGGTGCATCTCTGAAATTAGAAATTCATTTTTTTTTTTTTTTGCATTTGACTGATGTAGTTATATATCGGAAAGATGGTCCCACATACGAGTTATTTAATGTTTTTGGCTTGTACGTATTTTCCCCAAATACCGTTAAAAGTTAAAACTTTTGAAAGAAATAATTGCTTGAGAAATAATTTTTATAATTACTGACCTACCTGCTAAGTAGATGCTTCTTCAGTTCACTGTTATGTTGTTTATCATTTTAAGCAAGATTTTAAATTTGTTAACGTTCAAAATTCACTGAAGCAGACGATTTCCACTGCGCATGTGTACAATGTACTTAATTACCTCCCTTCATTTGAAATAACATTAAAAAAAAAAAAAAAGTCTATATTTTAGAATTCCG